AGGTAATAGATAACAGCTGTTTACATAATAACATTATGTAAACAGTTATTATCTATTACCTACTGTTATTATGTAAACAGTTATTATCTATTACCTAATAACAGATGTAATAGATAATAACTGTTTACATAATAACAGAAGTAATAGATAATATCTGTTTACATAATAACAGTAGGTAATATATAATATCTGTTTACATAATAACAGTAGGTAGTAGATAATAACTGTTTACATAATAACAGATGTAATAGATAATAACTGTTTACATAATAACAGTAGGTAATAGATAATAACTGTTTACATAATAACAGATGTAATAGATAATATCTGTTTAGATAATAACAGTAGGTAATAGATAACAGCTGTTTACATAATAACATTAGGTAATAGATACTAACTGTTTACATAATAACAGTAGGTAATAGATAACAGCTGTTTACATAATAACAGTAGGTAATAGATACTAACTGTTTACATAATAACAGTAGGTAATAGATACTAACTGTTTACATAATAACAGTAGGTAATAGATAATAACTGTTTACATAATAACAGTAGGTAATAGATACTAACTGTTTACATAATAACATTAGGTAATAGATAATATCTGTTTACATAATAACAGTAGGTAATATATACTAACTGTTTACATAATAACAGTAGGTAATAGATAACAGCTGTTTACATAATAATAGTAGGTAATATATACTAACTGTTTACATCATAACAGTAGGTAATAGATACTAACTGTTTACATAATAACAGTAGGTAATAGATAATAACTGTTTACATAATAACAGTAGGTAATAGATAATAACTGTTTACATAATAACAGTAGGTAATATATACTAACTGTTTACATAATAACAGTAGGTAATAGATACTAACTGTTTACATAATAACAGAAGTAATAGATAATAACTGTTTACATAATAACAGATGTAATAGATAATAACTGTTTACATAATAACAGTAGGTAATATATAATATCTGTTTAGATAATAACAGTAGGTAATATATAATATCTGTTTACATAATAACAGTAGGTAATAGATAATAACTGTTTACATAATAACAGAAGTAATAGATAATAGCTGTTTACATAATAACATTAGGTAATAGATAATATCTGTTTACATAATAACAGTAGGTAGTAGATAATAACTGTTTACATAGTAACAGTAGGTAATAGATAACAGCTGTTTACATAATAACATTAGGTAATAGATAACAGCTGTTTACATAATAACATTAGGTAATAGATAATAGTTGTTTACATAATAACAGTAGGTAATAGATAACAGCTGTTTACATAATAACATTAGGTAATAGATAATAACTGTTTACTTTCCATAAGTTCCTGCAGACTTTTATGTTTCGTTTTCTGTAAAAAAATGTTTTATTTTAAGGAACTTTTCAGCCATTTGAACCTTGTAGCTGAAGTCTATCAAGACGTATGATACATATAAACTATTGTAAGAAAAAACAACTTATTTTGATAAAATTAACATTCATGTGATCTGTAAGAAAGGTTTTGTCATTTTGTTACACGTACACACAGCTCGTGCAGTTATATTTCCTGTTTTGTATCGGCGAATCATCCGTAATATCAGCCAGGAACGAGTGTTCACTTTTCTTATTGAGAAATGCAATTTATATGTATATTTATATTTTCTTTAAAACAATGTACAAATTGTAATTTAAAGACGAATATTTAGTATCGACATATTACATTCTATTTGACATATTGTTTTAATAAAATGTATACTTGTAGAATGAATATATAAAATATCATTAGAATTGATAAAATATATCTTGATTCATATATCTTACCTCTTTTCAGGCGAATTCACCGATACTGATGAGCCTGCCTATTTAATGGAACATTTAGCAACGTTTTCAATTGGCCAGGAGTTTCGTATGTTTTCATTTCTATTTACAACATATCAATAAGGACTGTTTGTACACAGTTTTTATAAGTTCGTTTTAAACTGATGGAGATTGGAGCTTTCGTCTGAAAGTGACTGTTTACGTGCTGCTTTATTAATGTGGGCATTGTCCATTATATACGTAGTTACTATAGCTAGGCTGTAAATAAAATAATTGATTGTTTGCATCTGAACTTACCAACAGATGTCGCTAGGAAAAGGTTTTGATTAGGATTCATGATTTAAAGAAGTCTTGGCTTATGAATAAGGAGACACGTGACTTACAATAGGTGTCCACATGATTTATAATAGTTATTCACATGATTAGGTGAATAGGTGTCCATTCGATTTATAATAGTTTCCACATAACTTATAATAGTTCTTCACATGACTTATAATAGACGTCATGTGAAGAACTATTATAAGTCATGTGAAGAACTATTATAAGTTATGTGGAAATGTGAAGAACTATTATAAATCATGTGGACACCTATTGTAAATCATGTGGAAAACTATTATAAGTCATGTTGACACCTATTGTAAATCATGTGAAGAACTATTATAAATCATGTGGACATCTATTATAAGTCATGTGAAGAACTATTATGAGTCATGTGGAGCTATTATAAGTCATGTGAAGAACTATTATAAGTCATGTGAAGAACTATTATAAGTTATGTGGAGCTATTATTGATTTACAATAGGTGTCAACATGATTTACAATAGTTTTCCACATGATTTACAATAGTTTTCCATGATTTACAATAGGTGTCAACATGATTTACAATAGTTTTCCACAAGATTTACAATAGTTTTCCATGATTTACAATAGGTGTCAACATGATTTACAATAGTTTTCCACATGATTTACAATAGTTTTCCATGATTTACAATAGGTGTCAATATGACTTACAATAGTTTTCCACATGATTTACAATCGTTTTCTACATAACTTATAATAGTTCTTCACATGATTTACAATAGGTATCCACATGATTTATAATAGTTCTTCACATGATTTACAATAGGTGTCAATATGACTTATAATAGTTTTCCACATGACTTACAATAGGTTTCCACATGATTTACAATAGTTATCAACATGACTTATAATAGTTATTCACATGATTTACAATAGGTGTCCACATGACTTATAATAGTTTTCTACATGATTTACAATAGGTATCAACATGACTTATAATAGTTCTTCACATGATTTACAATTGGTAGGTGTTACATTTATATCTGAAAGTTTTGAGAGTGCTGAACTACATGAACATGTGAAGTCACAATGGCTTGTTGAAGGCCTCATCTCTCATGGTCCTTGTGAGGTCATAAAGTTACATGTGCAAAGTTTATTTGTGATTTTTTTGTCCACGTGAGGACATTAACTGGAGGAATTTGTCACAAATCAAGGTGTGGATAAATGGTCCATGGGTTTGTTTTTGATATTGTGGTTAGAAGTAAAAAACAACAACATTTATATCATTGTAAATCTAAGTATTTTCTTTCCTTTAGGATTAGAAGCACCGAAAGACGGGTTGAGACGTTTATTACAAATGGAGAAATCAAACGAAATTTGGGCGCAAAAGATGCTCATTAAGTTAGAAAAAAGATGGCTGATTATTGTTGACTACGATAATGGAGTAAGTCTAAATTTGATGTTAGACATGTTTAGTTATTGTTGACTACGATAATGGAGTAAGTCTAAATTTGATGTTAGACATGTTTAGTTATTGTTGACTACGATAGTGGAGTAAGTCTAAATTTGATGTTAGACATGTTTAGTTATTGTTGACTACGATAATGGAGTAAGTCTAAAACTGGTATTAGACATGTTTAGTTATTGTTGACTACAATAATGAAGTAAGTCTAAACTTGATGTTAGACATGTTTAGTTATTGTTGACTACGATAATGGAGTAAGTCTAAATTTGATGTTAGACATGTTTAGTTATTGTTGACTACGATAATGGAGTAAGTCTAAATTTGATGTTAGACATGTTTAGTTATTGTTGACTACGATAATGGAGTAAGTCTAAACTTAGTGTTAAACATGTTTAGTTATTGTTGGC